GAGTAGCCAATAAGTTGTTTTAATTGTCATATTTGAATTCAGCACATCAAAATACATAATAAATAGCACATTTTATCTCTGAAACAGACGACTTCTCAAAAATTGTAGACCAGTGATATTTGCATACAAGAATACTCAGGTATGAATCTGTCACAGAACTCTGTGTAAAGGTTAGTTGTTAAGTGTTTCCATAGGCAAGAAAAGACAAAACATTGGTTGTTTTGTTTCTGATCCGACTTATGAAATTGTGACTGTCTAATTTTTTTATTAGAAATGGAGAGAGAGATTTTAAAAAATAAAACACTATTTAGAATTTTGTGGCTTGTTTTCACTCATGTTATAGGAAACAGTTTGTGCCTAAACAGTAGGTATGTTCTTTTAAGGAAATTTAAGCATAAGTTTGAGCAAACCTTTTCTTCTTCTTTAAGCGATTGTATACAGATTCCATTCTTGGTATGCATATGTTTCATGCACCCAAGATCCCATTCTTTTTGAATAGGAGTATCCTTTAGGGCTGTGCCTGTGTCCGGAGAGCTGTGAGACCACCAGGAGAGCATAAGGGGATGGACTGGCCTCAACAACCTGAATCCCTTCTTGCCACCCATGGCTGTGAGACTGAACCTTATGGTGCCCATGTCTCTTCAACCTGCAAGAAATGTATTAGTTATTGTTGTTCTACTTCCTATTCAGCAGTTGTCAGCGCATCCATTCTTTTTTTTTTAAGTGAAATTTAGATAGAAGTTAACTTTAGAAACATTAATAGGGTTTCTGTCCCCTCCCTTCTCCACCCCCCGCCCAGTACAGGGTTAAACTCCCATCCCCACCCCATACCTGAGGCCAAAATGACCAAAGACTGACATCCAGAAATCAAGATCTGCCCCTGCTGTGACACAGCAATGCGCATCAGCTATGCTCATGCAAACTGCCTTCCATACTAAGTTGAGGGGCAGCTGCCTGAATGCTGTTTGGTATACAAGACTTCCTCAAATTGCACCCTGAAAGCTAGATATGGCAGATGAAGATACATCTCCTTGAGACCGTGATGCAAACGTTGTCATACCTAGGCAAGCGTGCTGTGAGACCACAACCTCCTGGCCAGTCTCACTTGTCCAGTGCCTCTGTGAGCATTGTTGGACCCAGGCAAACCTGCTGACAGACCACATCCTCCTGGCCAGTCTTACTCCTCCAGTGCCCCTGTGAGCCTCAATGTCACACTGAGCTTGAAGGACACTTACAAATCTTGCTTTTCAGCAGCTTCAGCTTTGACACAGTATGGGCAACAAGTCGCACCATGCTAGAGACCAGGGAAGGCGCTGATCTCCCTCCTCATATAAGAGGAAGAAGCCCTCTCCTTAGGTTTCAACTTATCAGAGTCTTAAGACTGAACCTTGCCTAAGTGCGAAGGCAAAAACAGCCCCAATGGTCTCTTCCCAGA